CTAGTCCTTTACCTCAGTGAGATGAAACCATTTCTCCAATCCATGAACGTTCACTGTGTTATCACAGAAACTCCTCAAACAAAACAGCTCCTCCCCTGGTAGTACCTGCAGAAGATGTTGACAATCGTCGTGATCACAGGATACTAAGCCATGCTTTCTACACTGCTCACTGCTTTGCAAGCAAGAGGTGCATAAAACACATAGTTCATAGCGAAGGTTGCATAACCAGGATAGTTCACGAGACAAACTTTGCAAAGTTTCTTCTAGAGAGTCTCGAACCTTATTAGCCATCAATCGAGTAGCACATGTTCCGGCCAAAGAATTGGAAGTAGTTTTTTTCTTTAACAAGACCTTGATGAATCTCTTTCTGCAGAGAAGAATAAGCTCAAAAATGTCATGTATTCCGATGAGAAGCCTTGCGCCATTTTGGAATAACTGGGGTGGTCCTTTTAACCTCTGTTTTGAACACCAGTGAATGCATTTTGACAAAAGCTGAGGGAAGAAACCGTTAGGAACAAAGCCGTCATGAAAGTGCAGGTACAACGGACATGGATCGCTTTCAGAAGGCTTCAATTCGCAGAGACCTGACGGAGATGATCTTAGCTGAGAGGGAACGCAGAACTCAGTTTGCTCCTGTCCGCTTTCTGCAGATGAACAAGAGAATTTGGTGATCAATCCATAGACCTCCATCATGTCCAAAATATCCTGCTTACTCAGGCCTTTCTGGATGAATTCTGCAAAAATGTGATCAACCAAAGCCATCCTTAGAATGCCGCTTTGCTCAAGCTCAAGCCAGCACTCTGAAAACAGAGGATCCTAAATACAAAGAAAAAAGAAGTTTAATTTATACAACTCGTCTAAAATAAAAAACAACAACAAAACAAACAGGCAAGGAAACAAAAAAATTTAGCCTTGCTATGTTCAGACAAGAAAGGGCAAAAGCTAACAATGTTGTCATTAATAGGAAACGACAATCCTTTTTTTTTAGTCGCTGGAGGTTTGCGAAGATTTCGCAAAAGATACGGCATTCTAAATAACAATACAACAAAAACTTCTTGTGTATTCTTTGACTATGTTTCACATTCGTAAATGGAATGATAAACAATAGCATCTGTAAGGTCTAAATTGATCCCATCGGCCTAAACCTCTTGGACACCTTATGAAACTTACACAACGTAGTATGTTTTATTGCTTCTACACTACACTTAGATAAAATTTCTAAGTTTCTTGACATTTCTGCTCAGGAAATAATCATGAAAGTGTAAGTCTCTTCAATTTTAAGGGAAAAAAATACAGAAGAGTAAGAATCGAACCCGGAGCTTAGTGTCTCCAGTCCATCACCTATACCACTACGCCACTGAGGATTTGCTGGCAAGCATTGATTTGATTTGAAGCTATATAGCAACAACCCTGACCCTAACGAGAAGCTAACCGTTTGGAGTAAGTGCTTAACCATAATTACTATTTTCAGTACTTCACCCTAATCAGTATTGTTGCTTAACCTTAATCACAATACCGAAGCGATAAGGAATACTAGGTTGTGCAAACTTCATAAGGTGTCTAAGGGGGTTTAGGCTGATGGGATATAATGCGTACCGTCTAAATTTGTCACTTATGAAACTAGAGGGAGACTGGATCGAACGAACTTTCGCAAAGACGTCTGGAAATGTTACTGGGGACAGCGAAAAATGGCCAATAGCTGACCGGCGAGTCCCCACTAACGATCCCCCAAACAACTGCGGGAGGCATTTCGGCTCAAGTTCCATTCTTGTTTCTCAAGGGGCGAATACAAATATACGACTGGGTGGAGCTATATTTCACCGTTCTTCTTTCAAAAGTCAACTCTACTTCGTTGCGTAACAAGCGCGTTCAGAATCTCCTCATATTGTTACATAATAGTTTGTTTTTCCACAGGCGTCCCAAGCTCATGTTAGGAGTGGAGTGTGTTATGTAAATTAACTTTCTCACAAGAAAGTCGGTGTCGCGTTACAAGCAACCGTTGAGTCTGTCATCTCTGCACCGCAGTAAACGTTTAAAAGGGAAATATCCCCACGCATATTGCTGGAAATGAACATTTCCTCGAGCCATGTCCAAAATACCTTCTTTCTGCAGACGCTGTGATACGGCAACTGGACACGGCGTTGGTCGGAGGTCAAATTTCCATCGACCGAGGGTGGCTCAGTCAAAAAAGAAAACCCGCAACAAACGTTTCCTGTTGTTGTTGTAGTTTGGATATCAATAACAGTTTTACCCGTTAAAATCATAAACCTAAAGAATGATCATTCTCACGTGTAAACGAACTAAAAATCTTGAAATAAATTTTAGTTAATTTGACTGAGCCACCCTCGGTCGAGTGAAATTTGACCACGGACCAACGCCGTACCCAGTTGCCGTATCACAGTGCTTGGAGAACGAAGGTCGAGAAAATGTTCATTTCCACCAACAAGCGTGGGGATATTTCGCTTTTAAAGGTTTGCTGCGGTGGCACGATGATAGAAGTTTGCTTCTGGTCGAAACAATCTGCGATTCGATAGGTTTTCGGGCCGCAAACCGCCTTCGAATAGACAAGGTCCGGGCTGCCAGGTGTTTTTCTGTGCTGCCTTTACATCGTACTATGAAGAGAGTGACAGGGTTCAAGCAATAACAGCCAAACAAACCCGACTAAATCGACGAATTCACACCAAAAAACACAGGAATACATCGAAGGTGAGCCTCCTTTATTTAGAATAATGATATTTAGCGTTCGCAGAGCTCAGTGTTTTAATTCTCATACAAAGTCTCAACGATTGGTTGTAACGCGACACCGACTCTCTTGTGAAAAAGTTAATTTACATCACACACTCGTGACGTGAGCTTTGGACGCCTGTGGTTTTTCATTCCTTTTCCTGCTTATACGAATAATATGTTTTCACTCCGGTCCTCTTCCTGTGATCTTCGCGGCAACTACATTCTTTCATTCAGTAAACCTAATACAACTAACTATGGTCTTAACTCCTTTTCTTACTTTTCAGCAGTGGAATGTACTGCCAGACTTTTTTCGTACTAGCTTTTTGAAGACTCTAAGACTAAAATGCAGGGTGTTACCCTTATATAGATGCTTTTGCTTGTACATACTTATACTTAAAATTGTAAATAATATTTTTCTATTATTATTGTTATTATTATTATTATTCATAATGTACTAAAAATATTTTTCTTTTTTTTATGTCGTGTGAGCTCGAAGATATGAGCTTGTTGGCAACTGTAAAGTTCGAGTATAAATAAAGTCTACGTTACGTTATGTTATGTCAGGGTAACAAAAACATCAAAGAATCACTTTAAAGTTTGTATTGTAATGTCGTTATCAAAAGACAAAACTTACAACTTCATCAAAAGGCCGCACAGTTATCAGTTGTTTGAAAAGATCAATCAACCACTGCGCCTGCAATACCACAGTCTGGCCGAGTTTAACAATCACGCCAAGGTCGTGATAGAAATTCAGCATGGCTGTCAACTCATCCCCGTCATAGATGCGGCAAACCTGTCTTGTGACAGTCAGGAGCTGATTTAGATCCATGTAGTAGGTTCCCTTGGCCACTAATGCTTCTACAACTTTTTCGAAGTTAAACCACCTAAGGAATGCACCATGCAAACGTTTACACGTCATCTTCTTACACATTTTGCACCCCCTACCTCCAAGAAACATGACTAGGAGAAGAAACTGGTATTTCTAGTAAAGTGCCTAAAGACAGTTAATGAAATTAAATCAAATTTTCTAAATTTGAGAAAGCTCCTACATCGAACTCCAAGAATTTATTAAAATTAACGCATTGCTGTTGGCAGCTCAGAATAAGGAAGAATTTAATGGCTTTGACTTTGCGGTGTAAACGGGCCTTGGAAAACAGTTTGGTATAACATTTAAAGAAATAAGGCAGCATTTTACCTCAGCGGTACCTCCTCTCCCATGTACGGCTCTTGATTCAAAACTTCCATGATTTTCCGCCGCAGTTCTTGAACTCGTAAGTCTTTGTTCGACTTGGTGTTATCAACAGCAAAGAATGGCCTGATCACATGCTTTTCGTATGTTTTGCCCGAGACACTCCTCTGGATGCACTTTTCCGTTGCCCTGGGATCTTCAAACGGTTGATCGGCATTGGTACCCACAATGATCACAGGAGGACGTAGATAAGGTACACTCGTCGCTTGGCTATCGAGGTCTTTGCCGATTTGATCCGCTTGGGGCACAATGGCGTGCACAGATACCAACCAAGACAAAAGATGATCTAGATTGGTCTCATTGTTTGGGTTGTCCAGAACAACATCATGAGTACCTTGCCTGACACGAGGTTCTGCTTTGGCGCATATGCTCTTGTGGAGGTTGTACACTAAGAGGTAAATTGCACGCCGGGAAAGAAACACAGAATGGGATGCATAGTAAAGGTGTTGACCTGCAAAATCCCAGAGCGTTAAAACCACTTCCTTCGCTTTGATGTCTTCTTCTAATCTCAGATTCTTAAGGTACCGGACAACCAATTCGGTAACGTCATTTGGTACGACTGAGGTGCTGCCGATATTGAGCTCAGCTTGATAACTACTTTCTAGATCACTATCGTCAGAAGATTCCTCTTCCATCTCCTTAACCATGATGGTATCTGGCGTTGACTCAGTAGCAGTAGTAGTAGCAGCAGCAGCAGCAGCATTAGGCAGGTTGTTATGAAGTAACTACAATAAATGTAAACCGCGGTAGTTAAAGATTGTTCTACTCATATATATGACGAAAAGTCCTGGAGTACGTTGTAGCAGACATGCTCATAAATAGTCTACCATCTAATTTGTAGCTGACTACAAAGATGATCTTCTGAACATTGCAAACTTAATTTCTTTAAAGATGTCAGTAGAACACCGACTCGGATTTGGCTCTACTGTCCCTTTTTTCTTTTTTTCAGTTTTCGCAAAAATAATTGGTTTGCGAATTTGAATCCGCAACTTTTTCTTTCTGGATTCAAAAATTTCCATGTCCACACGTATCCGCATTCAAATCGGATTTACCCGTCCACACGTATCCGGATTCATTCTAGTACCCAAGACTCCCCTGGGAAAATTTGCAACAGAGCATCCGTCGTAAAGCGCCCGAACTTTGCATCTTACCTTACATTGAGAGGCCCTGGGAACAAGCTTGCCATCTTGAATACAGTATTCAAGGTAACGACCTGGCTCGATCTTGTTACGTCACCGGATGAAAAAATTTTTATATATCCGGATTTAGCGAACACACGATTCCGGATTCATACCGTACTCAAAAATTTCCACTCTGGAGAGCGGATTAGTATGCCGGATGCATCTGATACGTGTGGACCGAGGCCGTATCCGGAAAGAAAAAGGTGCGGATTCAAAAATACCCGGATACGAGTGGACGTGGCCTTAGTTACAAGCAATTGACGAAAGTTATTATTATTTTTTTACTGCTTAACAACGATACATTAAAGCAAAATCACTCTTTATTTAATGCTACTTCTTTCGACTAGGCAGTAAACCTCGTAATGGAATTTTTAAGCGTATTTTAGATGATTCGCATGAAAAGAACACTACCTCCTTTTGTGAAGGTGAACCCGCAGTCGAAACATTTTCTTGATCAACTATGTCGTTCAAATCTCTGGCGACTAACTTTGCCATGTCTTCAGCAAAATCAGAGACATTTTGTTGATCAACTGTTTGGTTCAAATCTCTGGCGACCAACTTTGCCATGTCTTCAGCGAAATCAGAGACATCAAGCTTCTTCCGTTCTGTAGGTTCCCAGTTCTTTATTTGAGCAACTTCCAGTTCACATCTGGAAGGATCAACTTCCACTCCTATCGTGCTGTTTTCTTGAGGGTTAAACGGCAAACCAAGCAGGGATTTCTTCAGGCTTGTCTTTCCCGCACGGTCTTGACCAAGGATCATGATGCGACCGCGGTATACTTTGACTTTCCCGATCTGCAAAGCTCTTTCGTAAGCATGCTGAGCCCTAGGTCCTCGGGCAAGAATCTCTGGTGGTATTGATGAATCTGTGGAATGAAAATGCCTTTTGAAATTGTTTACTTACTTTCTGTTTGTTACACAAGTAAAAATACTGGCATAAGAATGCAAAGTACGGATGCATAATTTACTGCGCTTGAAATCATTTGGGCATTACTGGTCAAGAAACTAATGCAACAACACAGGTCCTGTATGCGACAATATACGACGTATTCCCTTCAGGAAAGTGACGTTGCTATAGAGGGTTTTCACTCACGTCCATGCTAATTTATTCTGACAAAAAACCGTTTACATAAAAAAAGAGATCAACTCCCACAGGACTGGTTTGAAACACCAAAAATTGTTTTGTAACACCAAAAAAACACTCTGTAAGAGATTTTTGTTTTAAATTCGAAGAAAGACCATACATTGAACTGATAACTCGAAAGGTTTATTTTTATTCCTACGCATTTTGTCCTCGCACCTTCTGTTAACTCAGAGACAGGAACTTCCTCCACATTTTCTGCTGTGAAAAACCCAACTTCCTTGCTTTGTGTTTCACCCAGCCATACATTCTTTTTTTCTCTTAAAATATACACAGAAAAAATATTTATATTAGTAAAACTAGACAACTTCCTCTTCAGTTGGTGGTGTTCATTCCTTCATAAAGCAAAAATTTTCAGGATAGAGGAAAGTTAGAAAATACAACCACAGTTTGCCTTTAATAGGTATTTTTTATCTGTTGAAGATTCATGGGTAAATTTCATGTCCAAATCAGTTTAAACAAAAACACAAGGACTTTTCGGAAGTGCTATCAGAGAAAACAAAAACTAATGATTTTATGACGAATTGGAGCAAACCTGTGACGGTCCTTGGAAATGAGAGTTATCAATTCCCCCGTCTCGCCGCTAAGAAACCCTGCTGATTCTGCATTGAAGCTTCTTTTCACTTTGACTCTTAAAGGATTTTCCTGAATAAATTAAACATTCAAGTAAAAGCAAATATTGAGAAATCCCGTACACATATCCTTTAATCTACATTAAAACGTACTGTCAAATAGTACGATGTACATTGTGAATGTATAGTTAAGTTGTGTCTTAAAGTGTTTTTTGTTCTGCGCTAAAAGGGGTTTTCTTGCCTGGAGTTAGATTCTTTTGGTTCTTCTTGTATTTTACTAGCTACATAATAGAGGAACACGTCTAACGGTCAATTTAAATGTTTTACTTTTGACTTACTATCGCCATAAGAGATTGTCTGATCTCAGAGAAGGACGGTCTTTCTTTGGGGTTGTCTCGTAGACAACGATCAAACACTTCACAGAAGTGCGAGGGGCAGAGATAACCATGCTTACTTCGAAGATTTTGAGATGTGTCCTAAAAGGTAGAAAAAAAGAAGGAATAACTGTAACGGAGGTCATTGCCGAGACCCTTTATAGTTAGCGCACAGCTATGGGGCCTAGGATCAAAACCGTATCCTTGCAACATGCCGCGCATGCTCAACAATGATCTTCCTCGATTCATTTATATACAGAGTCTTTCTCGAGTACGCAAAAATTGACCAAGCACAGGTGCGGATCCAGGATTTTTCTCAGGAGGGGGTGGACCACTAAGAAACTACCAATTTAACTACCATTTTCACGGCGTTTAACATAAATTTTTCAACCTCGTCTCATGTTCTACTTCAACCGACAGAATACCAGTTGTATTAGAAAGCTGCAAGTCATCTCAGGGGGAGGGGGAGGGGCGTGTGCTCCCCCTGGACCCTCCCCCCAGATCCACGCCTGAAGCGAAAGAAAGGCTTTGCTGGCCGGATATCCTTTGGGATGATCCGCGATCAGGATTCATGATCCAACATCACTGCGATCTCAACGCACCAAAGGAACCGCTTAATCCCACTTGGACAAAGGAATATATAATGCTCAGTTTTCTGGTCGTCATGACTGATACTAACGTATTTGGATCAAAAACTTACCATAACAGCCTCAGCTGCTTCAAATCCGGGCGCTTGGTTCTGATAACTGATAAAAGCGGTCGAAAATAGCTTTGCAAAAAAATAGACCACTTCCTCAGGCAGAGAATATGGACTTCCTGACTCGCGTTTCCTGCAAAATTGAATAGGCAATTGAATTTCCAATTTCTTTTAACCGTTGAGCCTAGAGATTGTTTGCAAATGACGACACGGGCGGCCATATTGGTGTGCAATACATTGAACGGGTGGCCATGTTGGTGCACCAAAAAAATTCTTTGGGGATTGAAGGAGCAGTGGTATGGAACGTTTCAATCTTATATGGACTGAAACTATGATTTGCCATTGTTCACTCATGAATAAACCCATTAATCAAACTAACCGTTTTAAAATGATCCCTTTGCATGTATGAGTACCATCATAGTAATAAATGCTAAATGTAACAAATGCTTCCTTTTTAACCGAAAGTTGTTCAATAGGCAGAAAACGCTGACCATTGATTGGACCAATCTCTTTCCAGTGGATAACACAATTGGTTTCCCTAATACTTATTCACTGGATAGTGATTTATCCGTTGCATAGTGAACAACCCGGGTCTGTTGTCATTATCAAAAGAATATGAGATGTTTATAAGCGCCGCAAGGGAAAGATTAGAAATTATTATAAATATACCTTACTAAAAGCACATTACAACGCTTACCTCCTCGCGTCGTTTAGAAACTCACAATACCCAATACCAGCAAGCTTCAGCTAATGAGAAAAAACAATAATTTAACAGCACTTACTAGCACCAACTGTGCGACCCAGAAAATTGTCCCTGGCAGAAGATTACTCGCCTATCTGAGCTAACCTGGGCAAGCCAACGTTTCATACATTTCCTTACAAAACGAGGCGACGAACCGTTTACACGAGAAAAAAAAGGCTGGTTCGGCTGGAAGAGTACCGGGGTAACCCTTTTCCGATAGTAGGATCTCCCTCAAAGCCAGGCCAACTTTTCTCTGTAAACACTTTGGCGCGCCAAGCCGGGTCAACTCAGTCAAGGCGAGACAAACAGAGCATGGGTCAATTTTTTTGTATAAATGCTCTTTACAGTTGACTCGGCTGGAAGGGTAAACCTTCTTCCCGGGACAGATTCTCTCTTTAACGGGGCCTGAGACACAACCATATTTGTGGGATCAAAAGTCGTGCTGCCAATATCAGAGCTACAAATAACAGTGGGTTATCGGATAATGTCTAAATATTGTGTCTTTGATTGAGCCCGACCAGTCAACCTCTATAACATAAGCAGAGAAGTTCAGATTACCTGATAATCAGAAACTACCATGCAGCAAAGCTGGAGTAACTGATGAACGACGTTCTTCGACTCAAGGTATTCTAACGCGGACGCAGCCTGAACTGTGAATCTACAAAGCCGTTCTACACTGTGGTGTTCGGACGCTTTGTCAAGGTTTCCATACTCGGCAAATTCCTCCACCTTTGGGTGACAGTAAATATAATCTGTCAGTCCTAATAAAGCAGTCACAAACGAAGCCGGCCGTGCTCTTTACAAGGGACATGTGGCTACAACATCGGCAAGATCAAGGATACGCTAGGTGTTGAGGGCTGTTCTTAGCTACAATCCTGGTCAAAAGGTCTTGGGACACCTCCCCTTTTTCAATTGGTTTTGTATGGAATTTGTAGCTAACCCGTGATACACACTCATAAACACGGCCTTAACAAGATTTGCCCCCCCCCCCCCAAACAAAGTTGAGGTCCTTAAAGTGTACAAGATATGTAAAAGGTGTTTGACTGGTAATACCCAACACTGTTCAGGGGGGAGGGGGGTCAACTTGAATTACATTTCCTCACCTAAAACACGAAGTGTCCCAAACGTTTTGACCAGGATTGTAAGTCGCGTCTTATTTCAGACGAGCTGTGCCGTTTACACGGGACAGTTTGCGTCTCATTTGGGACTCGTCTTATTTTTCCTCGTATAAATGGCCCTAATGTAAACATTCATAAATCTAGCGATAACTGCATATTTACCTGCAATTCAATGTAAAATATTGTTTAGAGAGTTTCGCTTAAAGGTTAGTCGCGAAAACGACAGTAACAATAACGAACAAAATACATTGGATGCTGTTTGCAACTGACTGACAGCAGGTTAATAAAGTAATTCAACAGTCAAGCTTTCTTTGAATAGAACATGGGGTAACCAAGAAAAAATCCCTTCTTTATAATGGAAGGCTTAGACACGGGTAAAGAAAGCAGTAGATGGAGGACTGTTTCACACAGAAAAACATCGCCATCCATATCCTTCCTTTCTCACTGCTCGTTAAAATGAACCGATTTTTTTTTCTTTATTATTATTATTTAATGTAAAAAGCAGGAATACTTACTAAAGCCACGTACGGTGAATATGAGGTGGCAATGACCACCCCATGGAAATCGAGGATGTACTTGTGTCGGAAACTATTTGCCATTTCTGCTTCATGTACAAATAGTTGCTTCTCAGTTTCTCCATAACGAAGACACACTTTTTCCTAGAGAGAGAAAACGCCATTTAAGCTTCAGAATGCGCAGCAGTAAATCCCCCTTCCCCCTTCCCCCCGTACGCAAAAGGAGCTTGCGCGTATACACAAATGCAAAATAAAACCAACGAAAATTGCACGTACCGTCAACTTTAAAGATTAGCACTGGTATGGCATTTCATGTATGCACCGTGTTTTATTTTCTTGAATATTTAATGCCGCTGTGTTTGAGGTTGACAGGCTTAAAGGGATCACGAATGCCCAGTTAACAACCAAATTCATCATCAGTTTTATATACAGTCGAATGAATTCTTTAGCCAAAAGCAGATAGATCTTTCCGCACATATTCTAGAAAGAGATTTCTGTAGTATGACTCTTCTTAGCGACCACTAAATCTTCGCATTTTGGTCGAATGCTTACGGAGGGTTCGACTGATTTGAAAAATTGCAAAGATGACACAAAGTTCAGCCCAAAAAGTCATCGCCCAGCCGATGCTCAAAAGAAAAAGTCGTACCCATAATAATCCTTTCGAGTATAAAAACCCTCTATAGAGCAAACCTTTGTTCCACCAGGCTTTGTCCACTCTGCTTCGCATACATATCCAGCCATTTGGCCACAAGTTATGGTTCGTGTAACAACAATGTCTTGTTTTCTGATCACCGGTATTCCTTTCATTTGACATGTTTTCACAACATTACTTTGCTGGTATTTCTGCAAATGCATCAATTATCAAGAGATAAATAAATCGAAATATATGTAGCAGCTCTCTTAGGGTGGATTTCCACTGTGGCATAATTTGTACGAGCGTATGAACGCAAATTTATGCGCATAAATAAAATGGAGGCAATGTATGAAAACTGCGTGTAAACGTAAAAGTTGAGCCACTCGCCTCAACATGCATGGGTCAGCATTAGATCCCATCGGCGGTAGCCCCCTTCTCCCATTATGAAATTTACACAAGGTAGAACTGTTTTCTGCTTTTATATCACAGTTCGGTGGTATTTCAAGCCGGATATGTTCATTAAAGTGCAAGCCTCTTCAATTTGAAAGAAAAAACAAATTTGTTATGAAAGATAGCAGGATTCGAACCCACGACCCAGATGACCCACTGAGGATTTGCTGGACGGAGCAGTAATAACCTAAGTCGATATAGCATCAACCCCAACCACAAAAAACAACCTACCCAGTAAAAGGGAAAATTACGATGTGTAAATTTCATGAGGTGTCCGATCGATGGGACCCCCCCACCCGCCCCATATATGCATATGCATGAGGGCCAATGAGCAATACACAATTGCGGTTCACAGGTTCCGACACCTTTTATCATTTAAAATTTCTTGCGAAGTTTGCCAAACGGTGCCCTTCGTCACAACCGTCATGGTTCCTTCTTGGGAATCGACAATTAAAAAAACATCTATTGATCACCTTTTTTACGCGATTCGGGTGAGACAAGGAGTAGACGTCATACGCAATCACTCGACTTTCACTCAGAATCGTTGACATAGTTAATAGTCACAAGAAGCAATACAAGGGAGATTTTTTTAAGTGCATGAAGCGCTTTTCTCGATGTACAAAACTACTACAGTCAAACCTGTATTAAGCGGTACCCCTAATGAAACTAATGGGAAGCTCGAGAGCGAACTAATCGCTTAATACAGGTTGACTATCTAACACATGTTTGACCAACCTAATGAAGAAAATAAAGATGGTGAGCGAGATATTCATAACACGACAAATTGACCTCAGATTTTTTCTACCTCTTCTTGCACCAAAAGAAAAAAAAGTAAAAGATCACTGAATGCTATGCAGAGTATATTTTCTGCACTTGTATGCTATATCTTGACAAAGAAACCGTTCAATAGAGGTGAAAACAATGAAAAAAATAACTCGTTGGGACCACGGAACCGGAGACCGCAACCGCTTTTAATAACTACAATTAATAACTGTAATTAAGGGAAATGATTCTGGGAACTTGAGGCAGTGATCCCTAAATAGGTGATGGACTGCTTTCTAATGCAAGTCAGCTTAATTCAGGTTTGATGGTAGTAAGGAAAGAAAAATTTATATCAACTGCAAAAGGGCCCGTGTGCTGACCGTGGTGAATTAAACCGCTACTTGTCAAATACAAACTTACACCAAATCTAAGCACACGTACAGAAATAGTACTATGATACCTGAGCGAGCTGATCAAATTTGAAGCTTGTGTTGACAAGTTTCTTTTTTATGCCATTGACCTCATCAGGATGCAGTATGACGCTGTCTTTTGATTTGTAATCCTTCAATGCATTGATACTGGTGATACCTAGACTGTATACCAATATATTGAAATTCAATTCTGTACCAACTTCAGCCATTGCTAGGTAGAGTTTGTCCAGATCAGTCAAAAAGTCAGCCTCCTGAAAAAGAAAAATCGTGTCATATCCCTTCATTCTCTGAATTGAATTTTGGAGAAATCAGGATTCAAAATAGTTTTCGGACTGTAGCTGGAAACGATGGCCGGCCAATGAATTTTTAGCTCGGTTAAGTCTCGTTTTCTAACCGGTCCAAAAATTGAAAAAAGTGAACTTATTCTTCTTTCTTCTATGATTAAATGTAATTGTATTTTTACAAAGACAAAAAAAATCTACGATTTACAGGTAAGGATTTGACTGTTTGTTCGAGAATAAGAGTCTGCCTGGCCGGTCAACATGACCGGCGAATGAAGCTTTTGGTCGGTCAAGATACCCTTATGGCCGGACGTTACCTGTTGAGCGGCCGTTATATTGAGCCCTGGAAATGTACCATACTGCATGGAAACGCTTGAGTCGCTTGTAGACGAAATACTGAAGCGTTACCAAAGGAACAAACCTAGTCATATTACTTCCACCCGATGCCATTTGTTCGTCAATTTGTTTGTTCGTTTGCTTTCTCTTTTTGAATTAATTTTTGCACCTTCCTGTGTTAAACGTCTCCCTCTATCGACCTTCCTCTTTCCACGACTTCGCCTTTCATCTCGCAGGGCAAATAATATTTTGATTAAAGAACCTGGGTTAAGGTCCCTCCTTGGTGGTGTTCGAGGCTTACCATACAAATCTCTCACGATTCTTGCATAAATACTAACCTTAAATTGATGAAACTGAGAACTTCGATTTTGTTCCACGCTCTTGTAAGAAAGAGATTTCTGAGAAAAGATATGCGCTCAGGAAGAGATTTCCCCCAAGAAAACTGAAAGCCCTGTGGACCTTGTTGGAATAGGCTATTTCCAGGTTCCAAACACTCTCACTTTCAAAACGAGCCTACGTGCAAAACCTTTCTTGTGGAAAACGAATTTGTCGAGAATAAAATCATTATTGAGCCTGTTTTTCAGGGTGCAGAGAAAGTCAGTTTTATAATCTTGCTATTCGGGCAAGCTAGGCATTTACTGCCCAAAATTCATTTCAACTAGCCCCCAAAACGTTTTGATAAGCAGGACTGATATACAGTTCTATGTAATTTGAACTCCTCAAAACCTTCACTTGCCCTTTGGCCAAGTTAAGAACAGAATCACTGCCCGATAGCAAAATCCACTAGTCCCGGGCTATCGGACACTACTTTCTTTTGCACGTTGTTTTTTGCAATCGAGTGTATAATGTATCTAGACAATACTACTAAACCAACCTGATGATTCTCCCAATAAGCGAGTCACTTTTAGTCTGGTTCCAGCTTTTCCAACTTTTGAGGGACGTTCTTCAACCTGGGATTCCCGGATACATCTAACAACTGCAGAGAAGCCATCTGTCTGGATCCACGACGGCAGATAGTATGTTATTTTAGCTACGTGAAAGAGGTAACAACTTGCCTTTGCCATGCTCTTGGGTAGTGTCTGCACAAGTTATCATTCAAATCAAGTGTCTTGAGACGAACCCAATTGCACTGCTTGGTAATCCTCATTTTGTTTTCTGACAGCCAAAGATTACAAAGACTTCAGCATCCGAGTAAAACCTATGAACTGTTTTCAACTGATTTTTTGCTTAAGTTCAAAACAACCAGTTTGTCCAGAATGTAAATGTTATCCGAACTCTCTGTAGGAAATTTGAAACAAAGAAGAATTGTTTCACCCATTTAATGTTTTCTAGCCACGGTTCATTTCACCCATCGCAAGGTTCCCCAATCAACTTGACGTAGTTGTCGATCACAGTCAGTATTCAGTAAAATTATCTCGCAGCCTTTCTTCTGTGCTGTAACGCCAGTTCAAGGGGAACAGCGGGTTGGAAAGACTTCCTTGTTCGGCAATAAATAACCCAAAAAAGGTAGAGACTGGTTCGCACAATAGCGCTGGGGCACAGTTACTATTTCTAAAACCGAAGGTCAGACAAACAAATTTTTACCCTTTAAGCCCCAATATCCAATACACAAATTCTCCAAACTGATCTCTATTTATTTTGTTAAAGAATGTAAGAGAGAATTTGATAAAAGATCAAGGTATTTTCTTTGCAGGATCATTTTATTAATTCTCACAACCTTTTCTATTGATGATGTATGAATATTGATAGAGAAAATTGATGTTGGTCAATATTGGGAATTAAAGGCTTTACGTCTCTACAGGAACGGATACT